ACAGGAAAACGACTGATATTACCGGGGAGATAGAAAATGAGTAGATCTGTTACGTTTGTTTATCATACACTTTAATTAAAAATATTTTTAGATTTAAGTCGCGTATATTTTAAATTTGTACACTATATTTATCTGTAGCCTGGATAACCGAATTAAGGGGGATGTACGGCCACCTTTAGTGCTGTGAGAACAAAATGTAAACATTTCTTCAAATGGCTAAAATACATCATATTTTGATCAAATTTTAAGTCCTTATGATAAAGATACAATAAATATGCATAACTGAATGCATGTTGTGCATATATAATCTACACTTTTGCAGAAAAATGCTTTTGATATGCACCTTAGAACTGCGCAGCTACAGAATTTAGCAGAGCCTTAAAAAATCCAAAAAAATATGCAAACTGTGCATTAATGTTCTCTCTACAACCATTTGTTGAGAAAATGTCTAAATTTTGCACTTTTAAATGATAATTTCAAGTTCAAAACAAGGTATCGTTGTCTTCAAAAAGAGTTTAAAGAACCATGAAAGTAGTTCATGCATAGCAGCACGTGGTCTATTTTTAGCACAGAATTTTGTTTTCCAGACCTCTTCTTAATATGGAGGGACATAACAATCTTTAAATGTAAGGTCTTGATGTTATTATGGTCGCATTTATTCTAAAACCAATGCTATTCGAACACTGTGTGACAGAGGAATGGCGGACGAAATAAACACATGGCCTCAGGAGGACACCCATATGAAAAATCAAATTTTCAAGAATTATGGATAATGACAAGAAAAACGCGAAACAAATGGTTGTAGCCATATTATGAATGAATCAAACTAACACTATATTCAATGCATTTTTCATCTCGTGAATGCTGTAGCTGCGCAGTTCTAACATGATTAATTTCCTCCTAATTAAAACAAAATAAACTTAATTATTAACTGATTTTGGTCTCTAATAGTAGGTAATTAGTGCATTAGCACTTTGAGTAACTTTGGGCTAGTTTAGTAGAGTATTAAGCGCACTCTTGGTATTTCTTATTTTACACCAGACTAGATCCAATATGGCTTGTACATCCCCCTTAAGAGAACCACAAAATATCAAAGGAAATTTTCACTTCATCTTATTTGGTTACAAATAAATTCTGCTTGTTTTGAAATGCTTTGTTACGTTTATGCTATTTCCTTCATCTAATTTTATCAATTATAATCAGATTTAAATCTTCAATTCAACAAGAGATCATTCCATGCCGTGTCTATAAGATTTTTTTAGCTTAAATAGATTTATTATTGAAAAAGTTTGCTTTCCTTTTAATGATACTCACTGTCTTTGATTTCACCATTTGTTCTTTCTACCAGTGTTGTTATTGTATTATTGTACAGGAAGGGAAACATAATATGAAGATCAAAGTCCAGACAACAAAGGTATAATATTTAAGACAAAGTCCTGAAACATTAAATTTGATTTATTCTGATGTGGTAGTTGAAATTTAACTGATATAGAAATCTGAAGTTGATAATTTATGACAGATGGCAATTTCTTATGTTAGACTATCTCAAAGACCAATGATACCAAAAAAACATTTAAAATATGAGCAATTTTTTATACATAGAGCGTTGGATATTTTACTAGAAAAGACGTTAAGGACCTCTCTACACAGGTGCAAATTTTTTTTTAACTTTGAGAAAAATATATTGTATAAAGGAGTTAATATTGAGGTTATTTATTTAATTTTCACTGTATGGTGCGTGGCATTTAACCCCGGGGGAAAAGTTCAAAGACAATACAGTATCACAGAATAGAAATCACTGTTAATTACTACAATAGAGAAAAGACATGCAAACAAACTGTTCAATTAATTTATCTTGGTCTTTTAAAATGTTAAGAATACTAAAATTAATTACAAATTGAGTAATATATTGTAAATTTCATTTTTTTTTTAGAATTTAGATCTAAGGGCAGATCACTCTTACTGCAGAAAAATACCTAAGAATCAGAACTCTTCAGTGTGCAGTGTAGAGAGGGTTCTTAATGGTAATCTAACAACCAAACTCTATGACACACGTGATGACTTTAACTTTTCAATTTTCATCTTCCCTTACTAATGCAGCAATATACCTTCATCACCTGCATACGGAGTTTATGTATCTCAGTTGATTCGATACACAAGAGCATAATCTTTGTATAAACAATTTCTAAAATGAGGTAAATTATTGACAAACAAGTTGATGAAACAAGAATATCAGCAGTCTGATTTGAAGTCACTGTTTCGTAAGTTTTTTATGGTCGATACAATGACTGAATTGACAACGGAATTTTCCGTTATTTCCCGATCATATCAAGGAGCACACGGCGGTGTGATCGGTCGGCAGGGGGTGCTCATTCCTCCATGGCACCTGATCTCAACTCTGATGTTTTGGAGCTCTGCTCCCATTTTGGATTGTTTAATGGACATTTGATCTAGAATACTCTTTGTTATCTCCATATGTTTCATAGAGCGAGGAAAAAAAATTAATGTTAATAATGTTAATTTGAATTATTAATGAGAATTTTAGTTCTATGGTCGCTGAAATAATCTCATTAGCAAATATAACCTATCACTTGGTTTTGTGCACCTCTAAACAAGTCATGCCAACCCCTCCTAGGCACCTTACAAACACTAAAATTTCCGGGGATCCATGTTTTATGCCTTGTTAGCAGATTTATATTTATAGATTTGTGATCGATCACTATGCGTCATATCTTAACCCATTTCATTTGGATCTTATTTTAAAATTATCAAACTATCATTTCATCCTTTGCAGAATATATCAAAACATAACAATCAAGTTTGAATGTATTATGATGGTAACATAATTATTCCTTTAATTTCCAAGAACATTGGAAATTTAAGCTCACGTTTAATTTTTAAACTCCAATTACAAGACCTTTCATTTTTTCTTGTGATATAGTTTAGTTAATTAATACACTGTGTTTTCATTTAAAAAATGTATAAGATTACATTTGCATTTAAGAAAAATAATCTCGGTTTAAGGTATTCCGATCCTCAGGTTTATAAAATCAACAGTTAAGTAATCAAAAATACTCATTAGAATATCTCTGAATCCACAAAGTATTTGTAAATTTATCCACAGTATTTCCTTAAAGTTAAAGATTAATGTTAATCATATTATATAGGGAAAATTGTCAAATCTCCAATATTTTTGCAGAAAAGGCGAATTGGAATATCTGCTATGCATTTTCTAATTGCAAATTGATTAACAAATACATTTTAGGTTAAAAAATGATAGGTATCCAGGCATTCGGAGAAATTATCATGATTTTTATACTTACGAGGGTCGTTCAAAAATTACGCGGACTGTGTTATTATTTACTCTTTCAGACGTCATATAGTTATGAAATTTCACAGAAATATGTATCTTCAAGATTCCAATAAATTTTGGGCAAATTTTATGTATTTAAAAAAATTCTACAAAAATTATCGGTATGCTGATATCGCTGATGAAGAGGTACGGAGAAGGACAAAAAAGTTGAAGCAAAAGCATGCGGAATCCAAAATTTAACTCTTTATTTTTCGATATTTCGCGATATTTTTCGACAATTTTCTCAAATGTTTCTTTAAATTGTTTTGTTATTATGTATTTAGATTTCTGACATGATATTTGAAGTAATAACAGAATTATAGTTATTTTTCTCCGATGTGATTCCCGTGAAAACGACTGTGAAAATGACGTCTCCTGAATTGACGGCGCACCACACTTTTGTTTAATTGCGTGTGATGCTCGAGATATCGCCAACATAGATCCAAAATATGCATAATTAAACATTTAGTAAACTAGAGTATTCGTAACATTCGTCCACAAATAGGAAAATGAAATTTTAGACCGTTAGACCTCTGTAAAGAGGCTATACCTTTAGGACGGGAAAATGACTATAGACGAAAACTTTATCCGGACTGTGAAGAACGTGATTGAGAGTCACCGATATCATACTATATCTCATAAATACCTGCATTTTTTGGTTTTAAAACAGAAAAAGAATATTCTTTACTTGTTACTAGATTTTAAGCTTGACAAGAAATGGTGTTTGGATGTTGAGTAGATAAGGTAACTAAAACTGTACAGGTACTTTTGGGAAAATGTTGAAAAAATAAAAGCTCAATCACACATTTTTTTATAATGCCTATGACGTCGAAGATTTTGCTGCTCCATGACTTAATGATATGTCCTGATAAATCACTCAAAATCGATACCAATTTATAACATTTTGATATGAAATTTTGAAGACCATATAAGTAAAGATTCTTTTATATTATATGTGACATTTTGCCCGATTATGTCGTCAAATATTTTTTCTGTGCAACAAATCCGCGTAATTTTTGAATGGCCCTCGTATTTGGTTTTTTTGTCTTCTATTTCCGTCATGTATACTATAATATATAGTGTAAAAGGCTTTTGCTATCATTGCAAGGCACCACAAATCACTTCTCATTTCATTTCATGCTAATAAGCATTGGTATCTAAGGCTGAATTCAAGAAAATCTTACATCTCTGAAACTGTATTATTTTTTTTTCCTTTTATAGGGTACATATGTCAACTTTTATAGGACCTTTTCTAAGACTTCCAAAAACCTTGAATCTTATAAAGATGAATAACATGAAAATTGTTGCATGAAAAAAATTCAATTTTAATCTTCATTTTGATGCATTTCAAATTAAATATTAATTTTTGGAGTTATCCTTCCTGGCTGAGGATCGGATATCCTTAAACTACATTTAATCTGGGCTTGTACAATTGAATGGTATGCAAAGCTTTTTTTCTGTAATTAAAATGTGATGTCAAACAAATATTTTAGAGGTAATATTAATTTATATTATATTATGAATAGAAAAAAGACTACATGTACTTGGAAATCTATTCGTAAAAGTGCAATAATTTTAACTGATCTGAAAAAAGAATCATTTAGCTTTTTATCTGTAAAAATTAAATGAAATACTTTCTCACCCGAATATGCACAATTATCGCTGGTCGTGTTACACAAGCACCCCTTTTCTGAATCACAATACTGATAGGGTGTACAGTCACATACACCATAACATCTTCGTCCATAGTGGTTGGGAGGACAGGTCTCGGAACAATTATAGCCGCGGTACCCAGGATCACATTCTGGAAGTTATATTTTACCTGAATTTTCATTAAAATGGCATCAGTTTATTAAAATATCAATTGGAATGTGTGAGATTTTAAAAAGCTTTCCCAACACTTAAGAAACTTGGTATGATCAGAAATTTATATTTATATCCTACAGTTTTAGGTATATATCTGAATTCCTGCATAAAATTTGACATGAAGTAATTTTATTTACTGTTTTCTCCTTTAAGTTTGTTATCAAAGGTGCATACCTACACACATGTTTCCAACAGGTTTGAAGTCCTTGCAGCATGACCGGGTGTCTCTAGGATATATATGTTCCGTAAATTTTTAGACGAAAAGATAATTTGAAAGATAATAAATATTGCTTAATTTCTTTTCTTTTAAAGGTAAAAATATTAAGTAAGTAATCTCTTACAGTAACTCATTAAAGCAAACGGATGTTTCTAGAAAATATATATATATTCTTGTAAATTAGTTTTCTAGCATAAAAACACTTTTTAAAAGATAAAAAAAGGAAAAAATGGTACCCTTTTATGCAAACACCATCTCCATACACATTTTCACAGAACACCATCAAACTGTTTAAAGAACACAAACAAGCAAGTATCCAAAGTTTCATTGTTAAAATAAAATGTAGTGATCGATCAAAATATTCACAGCAAAATCCATTTGGTTTCATTTCATGAGATCATGGTTTATATAGAACAACAAAACTTATTCATTTTGAATTTTAGAAGAAAGTGTAATTAATCATCACATATCCAGAAATCCGGAAATTTGATTCCTAAAAGTTGTTCCACTCCGATTAGTAATTTTAATAAACTAAAACATAGTTTGAAAACAAGGACATTTCCGAATATTAATTTTACATATAAAACATATAAAAAAAAAAATAAATAGTTGATTTAGTTCCATTCCAAGCAACTTGATTTAAGAGCAGATATGATTATGTAGATAAATTTAATCTTACGTATTCGAATTGTTTAATTATTTTTTTAATCCCCAGTCAATCCTTCATTTAAAAAAGTATTTTCAGTTAATGCTCATGGAAAACTTTGCAATTGAAAATTATGTTCTAAATTCACCAGGTCATGATCAACAGAACATGAATTATTCATAAAATAAAACTCAGTACACTTTATATAGGATGAGCTCGCATACACGAGTGCAAAGACATTAATGCAGTATACAAAGCAGTCTTTCGTTTGAACTCTTAAATCCTTATCATTATATAGAAGAAAAAACTTAAATAAGGCAACAACATCAAAACGAACAAAGACATGTACGAAATAATGGTACTTGAAAGGGGTGGGTGGGTTGAGATTAGTCTGTTGCAATGTAGCAGCAAACTTCGAATGATTTAAACATGGTTGAATTCGACAAAAATCGAACTCAACCATGAAACGGTATGTGCAAAATTAAAAGATGAGTGGGATAAAAATATCAATTCCAGATTTTAAATATTGCATTGAATAAATCAAATTTGATTCTGTCTCATTTTCCATAAAAAACATTCGACATCTTTTCGATGTAATTTTAGAAACAGATTTTAGCCAATCAGAATCTCTGTATGGGATTAGCACATACCAATTTATGGTTGAGTTCGACTTTTATACTCGGCGAGCAGAGTTTTGACACTGTTTACGGACATAAAAGAAAACAAAGACATGCATGTCATATATAGTTGTGTTGATAAATTATCGTAAAAGACAATGATAATAAACAGTTTGCCAGTGATTTCCTTTGAAAGTGTAAATGAGTGTATTTCTGAGGAGGGGGTACTGAGTGTAATTAGGAGTTAGATACCTTGTGTTATTATTATACTATGGGTTAAAAATTTATTTCCGAAACAATTGCCTGTGCTATTCACCCGAAACAAATGAACAACCAATCGATCTCCTTTATTGATAAACCTATTCTGCAAAAATAACAAACACACGTATTTTACCGTAACTTTTATAAATACATACCGTAAATCTGGAAGTTTTTACGTCGATTTTATTTTGCGAATTCGGGTCAAAATGCTGTTGATTAACTTTTACGTTTCAAAATTTTGCGAATGACCATTGCTTTGTCTACATATTCTTATTGGTAATTTAATTTTAAGAAAAATATTTTTGCGAATGCAATGAACTCGCAAATTTGCTAAAAATTTATCTACAGCAAAAATTTCCAGATTTACGGTATAAGTATATTCAGTATAAACCCATAATAAAACAACCAAGCCGTTTATTGTATTCTGTCCTCCTTGAAACTATTAAAATAGGAGGGAAGAGGATATCTATGCATTTCGACGACATATTATCAATTTACAATACAGTAGTAGCTTCCATTCAAATGTCGACGTGATGCATCCCAAAGAACCTGAAATAAAACACAGCATACAGTCTGACCCGTATCATCCATATTTGAATACTTTACAAGAAAAAGATTTTAATCGTAAGCCAACAATAAAGCTTCATGTTAAATTTAATTACTCCCATTTTTATGTAGCAAAATACGCTAATCACCATCACGTGGAGTATATTACTTCCAGTGAATTTGATCCTCAAGAGCATGCCCCACGTACAAAAAAATAATGTTTAAAACTAGACAAACTATTAACAAACAAGTTAATGAAACAAAGACACCAAGAGTTTCATTTAGAACCTTCATTTCGCAAGTTCTATGATCGATAAAAATATCTTATCAACAAATACAATCTACGGGTATATTCAGTAAACAATAGTCCCTATACTAGTACAGTCAACATAAGAAATATATGCTCCTCCGAAACATATTGAAGATGATTTTATTTTAACTTTTAACCCGCGTAGTTCTCTCCATATTTTAATGAATTTGTATTTTAATACATTGTAAGTACTTTGTATATTGTAACGCCATGATGCTATTTTTTAAACAAAATTATACAACTCATTTCTGTGTTTTCTGGCCTCATTGATTTTTATTAATCACTTTTTATTCGCGGGAACTGTATTTTTGTTTCATTGTGCGAGACAATGTGCTCGTGAAAATTTAATTCTCGTGTATATTAGCAAACTTTAAGATAATATAGAACAATATTTCCATTTCTATTTGTTTTCTCTGTGAAAACTCATTGAAAGTTATCGGTTGTACAGTTGATTTCTTTATAATTGCACCCTATGAACATTTAGCCAAACAATAGGTCTTAATGGAGCTAAGGAAGCCTTATATGCATGTAAATCTCATGCGTCTGTCTTTGAGGCTGATGTCCGTGGGCAGGGACTATTGAAATTGAAATGGGAGGCCTCATGTAATTTAAATCTATTACGACAAAAATCAAAAAATCTTTATTTACAATTACATATACAATATTGCACAATAAAATGTAAATATAAGGAAAACTCTCTAGTTTGTTGGGTTTGCCAGGGACAAAAACTATAGTTGGAAACGTGTGCATTAAGGACCTTCGCAAATTATCCCAGACACGTTTCCATGTTTCGTTGATTTATATTTTGCAATGTTCAGACTAAAAACAATGCTCTTGTCAATAAATGCAATCTAATCCAATTTAGCCGAATGTTTATTGATTTTATTCATACCTGTGAATAGTCCTCCGTGGCACCTGATTCCAACTATGGGGTCCCAGTCTGCTCTGCTTCTGATCCATTTTGTTTCATTGCATGGACTTTAATTTGAGCTTGTTTTTGTCATATCTTAATTTGTTTTCACCATTTGCATTGAGGACCAATCATTGTTATTGTTATTGGCTGATTCAGACTTCAACATTGTGTGACCGTGACACTGATCAATAGACTTGAGTGCCGAGTAAAGTTCTAGTTTAAAAGCCCTTCACCGACATGGTGATGTCTACATGATTTCGATAAAAGTGAAAATAAGGAACAGTGATATAATATTTATGTGTGCTACATAAGTTTGTCATATTCCCATCATATGAATATAATACCTATGTCCGGTCAAAGGGATCGTTTTCTTCTTCTAGGCACCTGCTCTTACCTCTGAATTTCATAAATTTTAAATTAACAACAATTAACGATTATCAATGATTGTTCAAACAAAGGCCTGAATTTATGTAAACATACACACAGAGAAGAAGGTAACCTTATCATAATCGTATTTCAAATCTAAAGCTCAAAAACTGAGTTTTCTGCATATAAATATCTTGCTGATGAATGTTCTTAACTCTCTGTTGAAAATAACATGACTTGGAGGTAGGCATCAGAGTAATTCTATTATTCACAATAGTCCATTTATCTTCCTTCATGAATTTTAATTCTCATGAAATTAAAAAGAACAAATTATTGCATGTACCTTACCAATTTCTTTCATTTTTCATACAATTGAAGAAAGATTCTTTTCTTTTATCTTTAGAAATATTTTTACTACATTTCAAATGTTTCATTCCATATCATGGAAAAATTCAATTTAAAAATAATGCCAATCTTTTTTTTTCTAAAAATGCTCACTAAAACTTTGCCTTTTTCGAAGTTTTTTGTACTGATGAATAAACATCGCCAAACGATTCATTAATCTGATAAATATTAATACAATTAACATAATCTGCTAAACAGTCATTATCAACGTCTAATTCGGAATTGGAAAAATTCTGTTGTCTAAGAAATTCATTTCCGTATACAACTTTAGAATGATGTCCGGTGTACTTCACGTCACAATACTCATCATCTTCTACGTCTGTGTCTGGTTTCAAGAAACATCTTAATGTTTCATCTTTTTGCAAATCATCTGCATTTTGTATTGCATAGCTCACATCAAAAAACACTTCCTCTGAATTTTCGCTGTCCGTATGAATGTCTGTTTGTGATTCTTTTTCTTCTGTTTGGATTCTTTCCTCACATTGTTCAGAAATTGTATCAGGGGAGAGCCCCGGGCAGTGAGATGGGTTCTCCATGTTTTCATCACTATCAGATAAACTGCTAAGCTGTACTCTGAGACTTAAATGATGGTAAATCCCCGATGTTGTGTGAGAGTATATGTCCTCAGCTTGATGAGATTGTGGATTAGTGCCAGAGGACGTATCTTCGACATGTAACAATTGTTGATGTCCCAATGTATATCTTTCTTTGAAAATAGGAAAATTTCATTATGAATTCCTCAATCATAATAGAACAATTTCAGTCCTAACTAGAATGTCGATTATTTAATAAATAATAGATTTATCTGTAAATATTTCAGAATAGAAATAAATTTTAGATTTCATACTGACAATCTGTCACAATATTTTTCTGTTTCATATCAAAATTCTGTAAAATGACGAATTAACATATTTAAGGGAACCTAGAAATTCTAAAATAACCTACAAGTGCGACGTACAACAGAAGACATGTTTGTACAGAAAGACTTATTTTATGCTACATCAAAGGAACTTTGTATGAATGATAGAATTTAAACAACTCTGTATATTAAATGTTACCTTCCTTTGCCTCTCTTAATCTTTTCTTCATCCAAAAGAATTTTTTTTAAAAAAAATAATTAAAACTAAATAATTTATACATTTAAAGAATATGTAGTAATGAAGTGCAATCGGTGGGTCTCTTCTTAAACTATTCATCAGTAAAGAGCTTACCTTAGGCAGGTGACCCCAGCTGCAAGCAGTAAAACGACTGATATTGCCGATGATAAAGTAACTGTGGGTAAATTTGTTGGGTTTGTGTTATCATAAGCCACAATTAAACGTTTTTTGAGATTTGGAGTCATGCACTTTTTAACAATTTTCTATATATTACCTTGAACACCTACATAAAGATATGCAATAGAACTGTCGTCAAAGCACGAAATAATTGAAGTAAATTTCAATGCTATCTTATTATAAAGCATATAAATTTTGCTTATCCTTGAAAATGCAGACATCGACACATCCATGGGTTCAACTTGTCTTTGCTATATTTTTGCTATTTTCCTTTCCTTTACCTTTCTTTATCAATTCTGCTTTATGTATAAAGCTAAAATTAAAATGCTTGTTTAAAAGGGGATAAATCAATTAAGAGTATTTAGTATCTTTTCTAGGATACATACTGGATAAGATGTAAAAACTTATTGTTGTTCCTAAGCTTGTTTCGACAGTCTCTGGTTCTGTGAAATGTAAAGAAAAGAGAGACATCATTAAGGCATTCTCCAGGCAACTACATAAATTTACAACAGAGTTGTTCTGATGTGGTAGCTGAAATGTATGTGGTTATTCAAATATGAAAATATAGATTATGATTCATGAGTGATGGCAATTTCTCTTGTCAGAAAAATCAGTAATTAAAACACAGATAAATACAGAATAAGAAAATAATAGGAATATTTTAAGAGAGAAAAAAAAATTTAAACGTATAGAGAGAAAAAGAGACTTTTCCGTTTTTTATTGATCATGACAAGGAGCACACGGCGGATGTGACCGGTTGGCAGGGGATGCTCACTCCTCCATGGCACCTGATCCCACCTCTGAAGTTTTGGGGGCCCGTGTTTGCTCTGCTCCTATTTTGTATTGTTTTATTGACTTTTGATCTTGAATACTATTCGTTATCTCCGTATGTTTCATTTCATTACATTGTTTATGATGATATTATTAATCTATAGTAATTTTATTCAATACTGCCAATGTCTTTCAAATCGCTAATATCTACAATTTTATAACACAAAAAATTTAAACTCGAATTCATTCAGTATAAACTTAACAAATTTTTTCATCCTCAGTTGGTTGAATCAATTAAAATCGGTCAAAGATATGAATTTTCTTCTTTCGCAAATAGACAAGACAAAATAGACAATAGGCGAGATTTTAACGACATACTTAAATCATCTGATTTTTTTTTCAGTGTAAGATACGTTTCAAGATACGCAGGTTAAAATAGCGGTATTTATTTGGTTCAAGGTTTTGGACATCAAAGTGATGATGATTAGAAATGACGCGAATAGTAAACAAGGGCATCCTAGCATTCAAATATGCTTCTATCAGGGTAGAAATAAAAATGCAACAGGTGAATTAATTACGGTATGTTTTTGCAATATATTGGCTAAAAAAAGGTTCCTGAAATTCATTTGAAAAAAGATAAAAAGTTCGTGTAAAAATATCATGAAGTATTGTGATATTTTTGGGAGGAAATCATGATATATAGCGATACAATTATTTTGTCGATACTTATCCCCTACCCGAAAGCAACACGTTTAGCTCTTAAGTTTTGGGCAATAAATTATTTTAAGCCACTCTGGTTTTACACACAAGTACTCTGAGGTTGACGTCAAGAGGATGCTGGATTCCCTAATTAACAACATTTATGCAGTCTTCGAAGGCCAGGTCTCCAACAAACTTTTAAAATGCTATGGACCTAATTATGTTTATTTATTTATTCAGAAGACCTTTTTTAGATCCTTATCCAGCAGAATTTTATTCAAAGACTGTTACATGAGACGAAAACACTTATTTTGACCTTCAATGGCAGATTTGGGTAGATTAATGACCTTATATCAATCAATCATTGTTTCTTTCAATTATGTGTCTACTAACTTGAAACAAAAGAAGATACAGGGTCTGTCAGACCTGTTTCTTATTTGGTTGCTTTACTGGCAATTGAAGAAAAGGGAAAATGGTTAAAACCAAACTTTGTGACAGATGAGATGACTTTAGCTTCTTCATGTCAATTTTCCTTCTCTTAGTACCGGTAGTGATAGTCCGCTATTGCTTGCATATGGTGATAACGTCTCCAAACTTATTTTTCCAGGGGTCCATGTTTAATGCTTGTCAACAGATTTTTTTTTTTTTGGTAGATTTTTGGTGGTAGAGTATTATTCACCATATCTTTACCCTTTTGATTTTCATTTTACAATTTTCAAACTAATATTTCAGCCTTTGCAATGAAGCAAAATATACATGTACGTATTGAAATGAAACATTCATGCTTGAATACAAAATTATATTTATATAAATATGCCTTTTTCAAGAAGTGGAGAATAATTTGATTTAAAACACACATAACTCCTTTAGCAAATCAGTGACCGTGTTTTCATTGAAAAACTGACGTAAGATTCGATTAATGAAAAGAAATCTGAGAAACTCCTGTAAAATTCGAAAATCAATAAAGGATAAAATGAGGATATGTTAATTTTTTTATATAGTTTCCAAAATATCATGCCGAAAAGCAAAGCATATTTAGGTAAAATAAATCTATATCAATATAAAGTAAAATAATATAAAAAAATATATAAGGTGTATTTTGAAATCTTTCCGTATATGAGCACTTATCTCTACTAATAAACATGTAAAATAATCATCTACTTTTGGTCTGCATAAAAGAAATGAAAGGATTTCTCACCCTGATCTGTACAATTAACGCTGGTCGTGTTACACAGACACCCCTTTTCTGTATCACAGTACTGATAAGGTAAACAGTCACATGTTTTAAAACATTTTGGTCCATAGTGGTTGGGAGGACAGGTCTCGGAACAATTATAGCCCCGGTACCCAGGATCACATTCTGGTAGTTAAATACATTGTTTAACATGACCTTTCATTTGAATGGCATCAGTTAATTTCAATCGAAATATGAGATTTTTAAAGCTTTTCCCACACATAAGAAACTTAGAATGATCAGAAATTTCTATTTATATCCTACCAGTTTTAGTGTATATATCTGAATTCCTGTATAAAACTTGACATGAAGTAATTTTGTTTACTGTTTTCTGCTTTACACTTGTTATCAAAGGTTCATACCTACACACATGTTTCCAACTGGTTTGAAGTCCTTGCAGCATGAGCGGATGTCTCTAGAATATATACGTTCCGTAAAGTTTTTAGACAAAAAGATTTTTTAAAAGATAATAAATATTGCTTAATTTCTTTTCTTTTAAAGGTAAAAATATTAAGTACGTAATCTCTTACAGTAACTCATTAACGCAAACACCATATCCATACACATTTTCACAGAACACCATCAAACTGTTTAAAGAACACAAACAAGCAAGTATCCAAAGTTTCATTATTAAAATAAACTCGAAATCTAGTGATCGATCAAAATATTCACAGCAAAATCCATCTGGTTTCATTTCATGAGATCATGGTTTATATAGAAAAAAAAACTTATTCATTTTGAATTTTAGAAGGAAGTGTAATTAATTATCAAATTTCCAGAAATCCGGAAATTTGATTCTTAAAAGTTGTTCCCCTCCGATGAGTAATCATAATAAACTAAAACATGGTTTCAAAACAAGAAAATTTCCGAATATTAATTTTACATATAAAACATAGAGAAAATAAATAGTTGATTTAGTTCCATTCCAAGCAACTTGATTTAAGAGCAGATATGATTATGTAGATAACTTTAATCTTAATTTGTTTAATTATTTTTTTTAATCCCTAGTCAATCCTCTATTTAAAAAAGTATTTTCATTTAATGCTCATGGAAAACTTTGTTTATTGAAAATTATGTTCTAAATTCACCAGTTCATGATCAGCCGAACATAAATTATTCATAAAATAAAACTCAAAACACTTTATATAGGATGAGCTCGCATACACGAGTGCAAAAGACACTAATGCAGTATACAAAGCAGTATTTCGTTTGAACTCTTAAATCCATGTCATTTTACAGAAGAAAAAACTTAAATAAGGCAACAACATCAAAACGAACAAAGATATGTACGAAATAATGGTACTTGAAGGGGTGGTTGGGGTGGGGATTAGTCTGTTGCAGTGTAGCAGTATGTGCTAATCTCGGACAAAGAGCAAAATTAAAAGATGAGTGGGTTAAAAATATCAATTCCAGATTTTAATTGTAGCATTGAATAATTCAAATTTAATTTTCCATAAAAACCATTCGACATCTTTTCGATGTAATTTTAGAAACAGATTTTTAGCCAATCAAAATCTCTTGCGTTATTAGCACACGCCGTTTTATGGTTGAGTTCGACTTTTCTACTCGGCCAGCAAAGTGTTTTGACACTGTTTATGGACATAAAAGAAAAAGAAGACATGCATGCCATATATATGGCTGTAAATTATCGTTAAAGACAATGATAATAAATAGTTTGCCAGTGCATTTCCTTTGAAAGTGTAAATGAGTATATTTCTAACGAGTGTTATTCGGAGTTAGATACCTTGTGTTATTATTATACTATGGGTTAAATTTTTATTTCCGAAACAAGTGCCTGTGCTATTCACCCGAAACAAATGAACAACCAATCGATCTCCTTTATTGATGAACCTATTCTGCAAAAATAACAAACACACGTGTTTTACCGTAACTTTTATGAACACGTATAAGTCTATTCAGTATAAACCCATAATATAACAACCAAGCCGTTTATTTCTGACCTCCTTGAAACTATTAAAATAGGAGGGGAAAGGATATCTATGCATTTCGACGACGTATTATCAATTTACAAAATAATAGTAGCTTCCATTCAAATGTCGACATGATGCATCCCAAAGAACCTGAAATGAAACATAGCATACAGTCTGACCCGTAGCATCCATATTTGAATACTTTACAAGAAAAAGATTTTAATCGTAAGCCAACAATAAAGCTTCATGTTAAACTTAATGACTCCCCTTTTTATGTAGCAAAATACGCTGATCACCATCACGTGGAGTGTACATATATCTTCCAATTAATTTGATCCTCAAGAGCATGCTCCACTTACAAAAAAACATGGGCCTTATAGGTCACCTGAGCATCGTGAAACAACTTTCCAACGATTGAATTTGGTTTATGTTTTAAACTAGACATCATGGCATTCACAATTTTGAAAGAGGCGTCATTGCTAATCATAACTATACACTTAGCATGTTTAGTTTGGTTTTTTAATACCCATAGACAGACTAGGGGAACAAAAAAACATGCATTTCAACTAATCAGTAATATTCAGCAATAATCAGTAGTGCCACTACCATACATGAACCCCTGGCCCTTAGTCCACACATTTCACAATTTTGAAAAAGGCGCCCTTGCTTATCAAAATGTTTTATTAATACCAAGGAGAAGATTTGAAACAATTAATTCATTTTCAGTATATAAGTAGACCCCCCTCTATGGTACCCCTGACCAAGGGGCCATAAAATTCACAATTCAGGGAGAATGGCCCTTGCTCATCATAGCTATATATTAGGTACTTCATCTGCTAAATATCCAGGAGCAGAGAAGAAAAATTTCAAAATTTAATGTATTTTCTCTATATAATAAATAGGCCCCACCCTAAGACCAGACCCCTGATCCTGGGGCCATAAAATTCACATTTTTGGACGAGGCATTCTTCCTCAACATAACTATATACTTAGTTTGATTGTTTAATACCCAGGAGCAGAGAATTAATGTATTTTCACTATGTAATCAATAAAGCCTGACCCTAATACCAGAACCCCTGACCCAGGGGCCATAAAATTCACAATTTTGGTAGAGGCAATCTTCCCCATCATAACTATATACTTAGTTTGTTTGTTTAATACCCAGGAGCAGAGAAGAATATTTTCCACGAATTAATGTATTTTCACTATATAATCAATAAAGCCCGGACCTAGCACTAGAACCCCTGATCCTTGGGCCATGAATTTCTTAATTTTGGTAGAGGACTCAATGGTCATTACGTTCATACTAACAGTTTGACTGCTTGATGTCTAGGAGTAAAGAAGAAGATTTTTAAAGACTGCATTAATTTTAGTGGTTTTGGCCCCACCCCTCAGACCCTATGGGGCATGAAACATGAAATTCACAATTTCTGTTCCCCTTCACCCATAAATGCATCATGCCAAATTTGGTGGAAATTGGTTGAGAGGTTGCAGAGAAGAAGCTAAAAATGTTCAAAAGTTTACGACCAATTGACGACGAACGACGTACGACGACGGACGAAAACAGATAGCAATAGGTCATCTGAGTGACTCAGGTGACCTAATAATGTTTAAAACGAGACAAACTATTAACAAACAAATTAATGAAACAAAGACACCAAGAGTTTCATTTAAAAACCTTCATTTCGCAAGTTCTATGATCGATAAAAATATCTTATCAACAAATACAATCTACTGGTATATTCAGTAAACAATAGTTCCTATACTAGTACAGTCAACATAATAAATACACGCTCCTCCGAAACATATGGAAGATAATTTTATTTTAACTTTTAATCCGCATAGTTCTCTCCATATTTTAATGAATTTGTATTCTAACACATTGTAAGTACTTTGTATATTGTAACGTCATGTCAGATGCTATTTTTAAACAAAAATTATACAAATAATTTCTGTGTTTTCTGGCAACAACGATTTTTATTAATCACTTTTTATTCGCGGGAACTGTATTTTTGTTTCATTTTGCGAGACAATGTGCTCGTGAAAATTTAATTCTCGTGTACATTAGCAAGCTTTAAGATAATATAGAACAATATTTCCATTGCTATTTGTTTTCTTTGTGAAAAATCATTGAAAGTTATCGATTGTACAATTTATTTCTTTATAATTGTACTCGATGAACATATAGCCAAACAATAGGTTGCACTGGAGCTAGGGAAGCCTTATACTCATGTAAATCTCGTGCCTTTTTCTTTGAGTCTGATGTCAGTGGGCAGGGACTATTGAATTTGACATGGGAGGCCTCATGTAATTTAAATCTATTACGACAAAAATCAAAAAAACTTTATTTACAATTACATTTACAATATTGCACAATGAAATGTAAATAAAATGAACAACTGTCTAGTTTGTTGGGTATGCCAGGGACATCAACATTAAAGACCCTCGCAAAATATCCCAGGCACGTTTCCATGTATCGTTGATAGATATTTCGCAATGTCTAAAATAAAAACAATGCACTTGTCAATAAATGCAATCTAATCCAATTTAGTCGAATGTTTATTGATTTTATTCATACCTGTGATTAGTCCTCCGTGGCACCTGATTCCAACTATGGGGTCCCTGCTTGCTCTGCTTCCGATCCGATTTATTTCAATGCATGGACTTTAATTTGAGCTTGATTGCTGTTCTTTATCTATATATTTCATACATCAAATGTAATTGAATATACATCACAAAAATATCGAACTTACGTTTAGGTCGACATCATATTGCACATTAAGATTATCGAATTTATCACCTTTAACGATCCTTAAAAAGTCATTATCCTCTCCGCTTGAAAAGCAGGATGATGGGTAGTCCATCCGCACGACTGTCTGTCTGTTATCCTTTAAGTCCCCATCTCTTTTTCCACTGAATGATATGTGATGAGACTTTTACAGAATCATTGTTACTTAGTGCCATTGGGCATCTTATATTTTATTTTTTGATCGGACATACATTTTAGGGAAACAAATAAAATTGGCTTAAAGTGTCAACATGTTTATTTAAATAATATTTATGTAACCTATAATTAACATTAGTACAAAAATAATATAAAATTTGTTTCGATCCCTATTTCAAAAGAATGAAAATGGGAAAAGGGCAGGGAAAGGTCTCATACCTAAAATGTCTGTTGTACTGAAAAAGCGAGAGGCACCAATTGACATCTTAAAACTTCAATATAACTTTTAAATTCAAATAATTATTTTCATCCTTTACATTTTCATAGCAAATATTAATCCTTTTTTATACCTTTGCAAGAGTGTGTGTGCTGTCGTTCATAATTCAAATAAATTTATTTGATTTCTTCGTAATATAAAATTATAAAAGGAAAACAGCCTAATATCTAGCACGTAGAATAACATCACTGGACAGCTTTATAATTTTTATGCCATTATGTATCTTTAATATCAAAAATAAATTGCAAGAATAAAGTACATTTGCATGCTAAATTATAATATTATAATGCAGCATAGATGTAAATATATTTTAATTTTTCAGTACTAAAATATACGTGTAAGAATAATTAATAACTTTTTAAGGATACGATAGTAAGTAACGATGCATTTACCTGTAATTGCAAGTATCATATCAAGTTACATTTAGACAGAAAATAATATTAATTGATAAAATAACACAAACATGTTAGAATCCAATGTATCAATGCTGAACTTGTTTTCACCTTTCATTGCTTGCCTTAATCTTTTTTCATCCAAATTCTTAAATGAAATTGTGGTATAAAATTGAATGTTCAAAAGAAATGTGTTTTATGATAAAACGGACTCGGTAGATCAATTTCTGAAATAAGTTTTTTTTTTTTTTT